TATCTTATCTTGACATGGGGTTATCTGATCACAGATCATGGTACCACATGGTCCAGGTTGAGGGCTCAGAAGTTGTATCTCTACAGAGGCTGTGCAGCGTGTGCTCCAGAAGGTTCTACTACAACCCATGACCAGCGCTCCATGTTGAAATTAAATAGAATTCCTGGGATGCAGCTCAGCTGTCCCAGAATGCTCCAGATCATTAGATAATTGTATTTAGTCATATACCAATCAATAGTAGAATATTCTAGATTACTTGCATTACTAGTAGATAACTAGGCCAGTATGTAGTCTAAAGGGCATCAGTTTGCCCTAAAGCAATTCAAGTTCAATTCTTATTGCTATTGCAAACCTACACTACCAATTATCTAATCGACCCTTTGACCATTTTTCCCAACACTCCACATGGTACATAGTCTCATGACTCATTTGAGGTAGAGATGACTCAGACTGGACTCAGTAGAAATACAGTAGCTATTGTGTTGTATTCCCCAGTCTTGGAATTCACTCTTCTTATTGACTTTGTTTTTGGGTTGATCTTCACTCACATGGTCCACCACCTAAACATGCCTGGACTTTGTGGACATTTCTGTATGCCCATGTGGATACAGGTTGCCAAGCTCTCTTTCCTACCAATCCAACTTGGTTAGTTTCAAAGTTATAACACAAAACCACTGTAACTATTATCCTACCATGTGGAGCAAACAGGCCAGTTCCTGAACGCAGGACCTAATTTGATCATTTGTACTTGGCTACTATGAGAGGGAATTAATAAGGAGATCACAGCAAAATTAATAAGAGGATCACAGCAACTGTACAGTAGATTGTGGCATTAGTGAGCGCAACCAGGATTTACTAGAAAGTAGTTGGGTATTCTCTGTAGTAGATAGCATACTAGAGGCTACAAGCCACCCAGTTATCAGTAGATTAGTCAGATTCTGACAACCCACTTGTGTGCTTGTGACTTGAGACTTCAGGAGTCAAAACACCTTTGCTTGATCATGACCTACTCTCTCTGAGAGTTTGTTGTTACTGTGAATCATTGTTACTTGAGTTTCAGTTGAGATTTAGAGGATTTGATCATTGTGTCTTGATATTTATTGCAACCACACATCACGTCTACTATTGTTGCAACTGATTAGTTGAGTTACCAGTGCAGTGACTGTTTGGTTTCATCCAGACTTCTGTGGGCAGTACGTTGGCAGTTGTGCTTGGGTTTTTGGTAGTGCTATAGTTGGCAGTGCATTGATTTGGTGCTCTTGGTGCTATAGTTGGCAGTGCATCAACTTAGGATCACATCTGTTGGCAGTGTGTTGACATTTGTTTGGGTTTAGCATCATCATTTGGACACTGTCAAGACAAGAGACCTGAGTACTCAGTACAAAGGCTCACTTGGTTTATATTTGGGTTTGGTGTCATATACTTTGACGCCATTGCAACAAGGGCACTCAGTACCGTGTACCCAGTTTTCGCTTGCCTTGATTGATTTTTTTGGTTGTTTGATTTGGGATTTGTTGATTTTATTTGAGTCTTTGTGTGACATTACAGTGTTGCAACTGCTCAGATCCAGTCTTCAGTTCAAGAGACATTTTGGATTTGGTGTTCTGTCACTATTGAAGCCTTAACACTTTCACACACCTGAGAAGCTGATTAGAGGAGTGTGACGTGTTTTGTGGTTGACTTGATTTCATGGTCGATTCAGCCACAAGCACACCCTCAGCATTTCACTGCTTCCTCATTATGCTCCAAATCCTCATCATCCATCTCTTCAACAGCCTCAGGCAACAAAACATGCTCAAATTCAGAGCCTGAGTCATCAGCACCTTGGTCTACACAGTTGTTTTTGCGGTCAGAGGTCTCAAGGGTTGCCTGCAATTTGGATTGTGTTGTGGAAACAGTGGGAGGCAGCAAGGGAGAAGGATGGTCTTCTGGTGCGGATTGCCGCAGTCGAGCAGAGCGACATGGCCTTGAGGGTGCTGGCTCTCCACCTGGGGCTTTGGGACAGCTTGGCATGCAAAGGAGAGTTGCTAGAGGTCAAATATGACTGGAGTGAAGGACGTAACACTCTTTGGCGCCTATCAGTCACATGACATGTTGAACTCATTTCAACTTCCACACAATGCCCACTACTGTACTATTACAACCAAGTGTTCAGGTCACAGGTCACAATGGCGTCTTGGCTAAATTTTTGATGTGCTCAAAATTTGCGATAAATCAAAACAAAAATCTTTGGTTCCAGAATTTCGAAAAATTTTGAACACTTGGTCATAATATGTAGTACAGTACCTCACTAGCATTGTAATCATATTTTCAAGCCGCATGTGGCTTCACACGGCTCACCACAACCTGTCTATTGACATCACTGAACATTGGACTTGGTCAGTAGGACATTACTAGTATTGGATTCATGCTGGCTGACATGCAGGAGTTCCTCGCACATTTCACTCAAGAGTCCCATCATCCGAATCAGTTTTGATGGATTGCATGTGACCGTCAGATCGTCGCAGTCACGATGGGTGATATCGGATCGAGGATTGGTCATCGGACCATTGATGCGATGGCTATCCTCAATCACTATGAAGCAAGTCGCAGTTTTCCATCCCCCTTTTGAAACCGAACAAAGCTCGACATGGGGCAACGCCTAGCGGTAAATAATTGGCCTGATCTTTTCATGCTGTAATGATAAACACGAGAGACGTCAAACCTTTGCGCCACGACCCTTTAACCCATCGTTCCGGGTTTTGCTGATCACGTAGATTTCTTGAGACTCGTTCTTGGGCTGGATCATGCATCTTGTCAGAAGCGACATTCCTATTGGATTTGGACTTGAACCGGATGATACCAAGTCTCGTCATGGGGCCTTTGCCTGGCCTTGTGAGTAAGTACCTGGGTTCGCTGGTCCAGACCATCGGGGGGACTCATGGGCGCAGATGCAGATATTCACTGACCCAGGCTCGTAACCCCTCGCAGGACCCTGCTTAGGATTCAATCCTCCGGGCTCCAGGCGCTCTGAACGCTTCGCTTGTCTCGTGCTCGGAACCGCATAATGACGCGGAATTTCTACTCACCCGTATTTTCCCACGTTGACAGGCAGAAAGAGAAGTCTCCGTGCCATCTGGTGGAGCTCCGCTGATAAGCCAACCGGCGATGCGAGCTTTCGATTCCGCGGGTATGTCTTGTCGACATCCTTGCCATTCTTGAGCTGAGAGCATCGTCAGCTGGTTCTCTGAATTTTCCCAACATGTCAGCACAGTTGTACTCGGGGTTCGCTTTCTATGACGCTAGGCAGATCAATGTGCATGAGCTTTGACAAAGCGAATGGTGACAGGAATGCGAAGCTTACAGCACCCTGTCAAGCCAATTCATCACGCAAAGCCCGGGTCGAGGTATGTTCCACCGTGCGCTGCATGTTTTTCCCCGTCGCTGGCACTCGATGACGCACAGCGGCGACAACCCATTTTCCGAGACTCCTATGACACACAGTTGTGACGGCCCAGTGTCCGGTAATTCCAGTTGAAAAGGGTGAGCTGCGAGTCCGTCTTTTTCCTCACCAGCCGCCTTCAAGCAGCCTCTGCCCGAGAAACATGCTTGCCCTTCGCCACTTCACTTCGCTCTTGCTCCTCGTCTCCACCGCGTTCGTGGCTGCCAGCCCCGCTCCTCTCCCCGAGGTCGGTGCGGTTGCCGCCGTCGAGGAGCGCGGCTCCGGTGTCGATGTCGTCGGAATCATCGTCACTCTTCAGGCCTCGGTCGCTGTTGTGCTGCCGCAGATCGGTCAGTTGGCGGTTTCTGCAGTCGACCATGCGGTCATCCGGGCTGACCACGCATCTAGACAATCTCTGCACCAGTGGCCAAGCCACCGACCTCACCATCGCCCCACTCATCGTCGAGTTAGAAGCGGCCATCGAGATCGCCGTCGTTGCTCTCGGCACTGTTCCGCTCTCCGGCATCGGCTCTCCGTCCCAGTGCGCGGGTCTGATCGCTGAGATTATCGAGGTGCTTTCGATTTCTCCTTCGCGAAGGACGTGGTCGCTCAGCGTTTTGTCAGGATATCACCCACACGATTGAAGGTTGCCAGGGCGTAGGCACCATCCTCACGCTTGGGACTCTCGTGGCTGGGCTCGACCAAGCGATCCAGGGACTGCTGCTCACGGTCGAGACTGTCCTCGCGGGTGTGCTTGTTCTCGTGGCGGGACTGTATGTCTTTTGTTTCCCGTGCCGGCGGCGGACTGTGCTGACTGCTCGTTTGCAGAATTGTTGATGTCGTTGCGCTGCTGAAGTCGCTTCTGTTCGGCCTGACCCTGGGCTGCCTCGGACTCTGATCGCATTAGCGGCTGCAACGTTTGGAAATCTGAGTCGCGTAAGTATCTCCCGTTCAATCGTTCTACACTCGAAATTTTGTTCGTCAATCTGTGAATCTTCGTTATAAAACTTGTTTTTCCGTCGTCCCATTCTCGAACATACATCCGCTCAGAACCGCCAATACTACAGAAGTTGACAGCAGCCCTCGCTTCTGCACCCTCTCATCTCGTATTTACTATACGTGAAGCGTCGCCGGTCTCGTCGTGGACCTGCGCTGACGCGAAGAACCACCCAAATATCGTCCGTTTGATCCTCAATTTCGATTCTCCGGATCTCCCGTTCACGTTGAATGGAAAAGACAGTGCAACTGGCCTCGAACATCGGTACGTTCTCGTATCTCTACCCTTGGCCCCGTATGCGGGCCTCATCACAATGTGCCCTCGCTTTATTTACCTTCGAGACCCAACGAAAATGAGCGCAGTTTCACCTCATGTATATTGGCTGTCCATAATCGCTCCCACCGTTGCTGTAGCACTGAAGAGGGCCCGCACCATCTACCACTTGATGTGGTGATCGCTGTGTACGTCATCACTCTAGGTCGACGAATCAACACCATCGAGTCGTCGGGTTACTACGAAACTCACCGCGAATCCGTTTTGCAAGCCAGAGTGCGTTTTGAATTTTGTCTGATCCACTCAAGCCCCGGGGAGAGAACGTACCTGATTGAACCGACCAACTCTACTCAAGACATTGAAGGATTTCCCGGCTCGAAATGAGACTGTGGGATAAACAGACGAAACTTGTGTCTAATGGCATAGTGCATCACTGCCTGCTATCATCCAAATATCCAAATTTAAATGACAAATCACATCCCAGCCAACTTCGTTACGGACAATTGATTCCAATTAGCCTTCTGCGATTTTGACACACCGGCGCGACTCCGAGCCCATATCTCGAACGTTTGCATGTCCGGGTAGGCTTTTTTCGCCAACGCTGTTTGCTCAGCAACTTCGGGGCAGAGACCCTCGATGCGAGCTGCGTGCACTCGCTCGATGTCAGCGATGAGGCCCTTAGTATCCGAGTTCAAGGAAATCAGCGCTTTCGCGAAGAAGCCTGCAACGGAGGGAAGGTTCTTTCTTGTTGCTTTTTTGTACGACTCCAGTTGTTGGGAGATTGTTGCCGCTGTATTAGAACGTATGGGTGAAAGTTTTTGCAGATGCGGGAGGCGAACCTTCTCCCGAGACAACGAGGATCTTTGATCGATACTCTGAAGGGTTCTACGGTAAAAGCATCAGCGAGGTCAATATAACTGAATCTGATAATGGGGGTTACCTTGAACACAGCTGCCGCGACACGTCCGATATCTTCCACGGCCTTGACAGGTGTCAGTCGTCGTGGGAGTATCCATGCCAGGACAAGACTAACCACAAGCTGGTTCGTTGTGTCCGGCTTCAAACCCTTCTTCATCACCCCGACAGCGATCGAGCCGATGGTTCCGTCATAGTTTTCCATGAAGAAGCCTGGTCGCAAGATTCTAAGTCCACAGGCTGAGCCTCCTGCCACGCAACCCAAGATGATTTGACTCACGTCCAAGGCAAGCTTTTCAAATTGCCGAGCTGCTTTATGTGCCTTTCGATCATGACTTTTGCTCTTCGATCGAGGACAGCGTTATCATCATTGTATTCTCCGCCTCGTTCCACAGACGAGAATACAAAGCAGGACACCTGGTACTCGGCAGAAAGATCCGCCAATGTCTGTATGGGCACGGGAGGAAGCGGGGAACAATCAGTGAATCGGAGGAGCGGGCGGAGGTCAGATTAAAATGCGGAAGCACACACCTTCCCTTGCCGCTCCTCCCCGTCCGCGTTAGCCCCGAGTCCTGGGAACGCCAGTACGACGAAAACACCCCACACCCCACCGAACTCACTCGCTTTCGCGTCGTCGAAGATTTTGCGGATTGAGTTGGCTGTGTCGAGATTGCCGTGCACGACAGTCACATGCGGAGAGGCCGTCTTGAGTTGGGTCACCGTCGGGGACGTGGGTGCGCGTGTCAGGGCCCAAACATGAAATTCTGGGTCCGAGGAGAGAGCGCGGATGAGCGCCTGGCCTTGTTTTCCTGTCGCGCCCGTGACAAGGACGAGCTTCTTGGGCATGTCTTGAGACTCGGGATTCGTTCTATCCGAACTAGTCGATCGTTTAAGCAGGGAGAGACCCTGGGTCGACAGCGGCAAGTTTGAGATGGGATTAGTCGTGACAACTATCGGTGCCGACGCTGTGCGTGATGTGATGCGTTCGATCCGGATCTTTATTCTTCTGACATTCTCGGTGTCTGCCCATCTCTGCTTCCGGGGGCGTCGTTTCGCCGCTTGTCTGGGTGGCCCTGGCGTCAAAGGTCAGCGTCCTCATTGGCCCTGTTTCAGCACGCCTCCCTTCTTCTCCCCGTCCTCGTTTGAGGTGACGACAACCGTAGTCCCCCTGGATTCTGGCCTTCAATACCTTTTCCATCATAAGTCATCATTGAATGGGGATTTCTGATTGGCACGAATGTTAGCTCCAGCCTCCCGCGGTGGCAATCATCTCCCGGCTCTAATTGCATCGGCCTCCATAAGAATCGGGGCGGTGGTGTCCAGGGGTCCCCAACGCGTTCCCCTCAACAGCTCCCTCCGTTTTGAAACCGCATCTCATGTCCGTCGCAGCTGCTATGACTCCCATCCATAAACAAAACACCCACTGACTTGCATGAAGCGCGACCAACATCTGGACCCCGTGCCCCTTTCCCTCCCTCCCTCCCTCTTTTATCATACCGACTTGGATGGCCGACAGCGGGCTGGGCGCTCTTGAGCAGGAGATTACCGCCCTCCACGATTATGCCGCTGTGCGCTACACAAACGGTGCATTATCAACATACCCGTTGCCTGAACATGCGCTGATCATTGCGGATTGAATCTTCATCCAGTTGCGTTCGTTGTGAGTCGCGTCTGGACGCGTGTTGCCTCCAAGTGCCCATCTTACTCAGGCGCTGATCTTGTACGACTACGTCATCACGATTGATACTATTGATCGCAACTGACAGGTGTTTCTGCACCATAGAGGTGTTTTCAGTCGTTAGAGCCATTTAATGCATCTATTGCCTTCGGGTTTTTTTCAAATCATTCCTTATATACTCTCAAATGATTGTGCAAAGTCCGAGAGCAATCGGGCAAGTGCAAAGAATTGCTCGGCGCTGCCGGCGCATCAAATGAGGTGTTCTCAAGCTCATCTCTGTAATTCCAAGCCTCCCGTTGGTCATTTCAGGCCGGGTAAAGACGAGCAATATATTATTAAGTATCTAAATCGTATTCGATACACGCTTTGCTATTCCGGGCTTGCAATGGATGTGAGCAAGGGTGATCAGCCAAAGCGTGACAATTCAAGCTCCGCGCATCAAACACGTTGATTGACAGCCATGTGTGTCTGGCGTCGGAACCTATTCCTGGCCCATCATCTCAACCTCTGATTGCTCCGTCCTTGGCTCCTCAGCAGCCTACGCTACCTTACACATTGGTTTTGGATCCTTTTTCGACTTTCTCACTCCTGCCTCCTGTACCATACACATCTGGTTTCCAATGGACTTGAAATCCACATTATACATCACACTTATAAAACTATACACCTACTAATGGCTCGAGGACCTTTCCACCTGGGTCTAGCACCTCTCACATGTCGTCAATACATGTAATGTATCTACTTCACACTTATATTCTTTCTTCTGTGAGTGTTGACGCGACTCGGGGAGCACAAGATCAATTGCCGGTTTGGCCATCACACTGTCATCACTGTGTCAGTGTGACAATTGTGACCACACATGTAATTCCTCTTGCTCACATCCATTGCAAGCCCGGAATAGCAAAGCGTGTATCGAATACGATTTAGATACTTAATAATATATTGCTCGTCTTTACCCGGCCTGAAATGACCAACGGGAGGCTTGGAATTACAGAGATGAGCTTGAGAACACCTCATTTGATGCGCCGGCAGCGCCGAGCAATTCTTTGCACTTGCCCGATTGCTCTCGGACTTTGCACAATCATTTGAGAGTATATAAGGAATGATTTGAAAAAAACCCGAAGGCAATAGATGCATTAAATGGCTCTAACGACTGAAAACACCTCTATGGTGCAGAAACACCTGTCAGTTGCGATCAATAGTACGGAGGTGTCCCGAATTTGGAGGTGTGTTCAGGCGAACTGTCATCCCCAGATGTGCTCAGCGGTCTTGGCCTAGTTTGAAATGGCGCTTGCCCAAGATTCTGTATCTGATCAATCGCTATATCGTGCCACCCATGCTCATGTGAGGTGGACATTACGACTCCTTATCTCTGGTAGCCAATATTCGACAGATTCGACGCGATCGTACCCGCAATTTACAATCTGCCGGAGTCAATGTTGGTCGTCTTAGTTTTAACCGATCTCATAGCGGCTGATGATCAGCCCAGGTGCGACTTCATCGCAAAGTGGACGCCGTGGTCAGTCTCAGTCTTCGGGTTGAAGCATCCAACGTTCGACCGTGAACAGGCCGACGATCATCTCGCTTACGACGTCTGAGATGATCCTGATGCTGCGTGTGTTTGCTGTCGGTAAGCGCCGGAAATTTTTGTATTGTGATGCTCGTCCTGACATTCATATCCCTCGACAGCCGGTGATCGAAAGGCCTGCCTTTCTTCGGATCGGTCCACCTCTATCTTCTCACTGGATATTTAGGGTGTTCGATACTTTCTCTGGGGCCTTTTCTTTTGTGAGTTCGCCACGATCTTCCGAATCGAAGACTACAATCATTGAGCGTCCATGCCAGGCGAACTCGCTGGTTGGATTGCGCTAAGCAGCATTGTGACGAAACATACGGTTGGCGCTCCCGGTGGCCTTTTGTTCCCGGGGTGTTTGTTCTCCGCGCCCACTTACTTCTACACTGCATGGTAAATGCTTGTCCACTACGGTGCATGACCGGTTGATACATCTGGAACTATTCTCCAGGATCCCACCCGTCATCTTTGAAAGTAAGCGTCCCCTTCGAGTTTTCACGGGCTGAGCTGAACAGTGTCGCATAGGTATTCTGATCATTGTGACGGGATATTATGCGAGTGCCTATCATTGGACCAAGAAAGGATCTTTCCAAACGTGAGCAGTCTCATGCCCCTTCAAGATCGCACTCTCAGACACATATTTCAGTATCCAGATCCTCGCTCGCGATTCTATTCTCTACTTTCTGATAATCTTCTGTGACATTTCCCCGATGGTTTTTCGGTAGCTTAGCGCTCATTCCATTCTAGCAGTTCTTCTTAGTAACCTACTAATCGCGAGGTTTGGCCGAGACTTTCTTGGCTCGCTTTTCATTGCGTGAGTGATTCCTCGCTGGACGCACTCAGTGGGTGACACCCTATCAGACCCTCGAGCGTGATTGCATGTCTCGGCGTAAGCGAATTTCGCGCCCCTCAGTCCAATTGCATTGATCGAGTGAACGTTCCAGGCATCGCGGCTAATGATCAACTTGGGCAGCATTGCAGCCAGTGACACAGGGCCAACCACTGAGGACTTCGTGATGGGTCTGAGCACAGGAACCGCGAGCCACGATATTACATTCCAGACAAGGTCAAGAGCCAGTTGACACACTCCCCGTGTTGCCTCGTGCGAAACAATTCGGGAGCTCATAGTTGAATGTGCCGCATCCAGATATATAAATTTTGTTGGAAATCTGCACTGTATACGCTCCGATACTATGAAATTCTACCACTGGTGCACTACAAGAGGTCGAGGTCAAACAAATTGATCTCTCCGAAACAACTAGAACTCGAATTACGTTTAGGTCAGTTGATCATCCCCGGCCGTCCTCTGGATTTTCGATCTCCGCTCTGCATTGTTCGGTGCGCGAGCCTAGCAATAGGCCAAAGCGCAGAATTGTGAATTGTGATGTGGCTTGATCAGCCACGAGGCGCAAAAAGCCATGCTTACGCATAGAACCATCTTCCACAAAGATTCTCAGCGATAAAACGTGTTGCGCATTGTCCTCTCGCTCCATCGATCGTCTCAAACAGCTCCTTGCCTCAAGACTATTCCACCCCCGCCCCCACTAGTGCCACCCCTCTAGTACCATGCCCTTGGACTCCGCGATGCCTCGCTTTCCAGAACGCAAACGGAAAGAGAGAGATGCAGTTTTGCGCTCATCCCCAACAGCAGAAGAATGCCACCGACCCACAAAGCGTCATCGACATATGCCTCTCGTCGAGCCCACTTCTGAGGCTCAGGACGAGATATCCCCATGGACTCCTCAGTCCAAACTCGACCAACAGGCCGCGCAGGGTAGCACAATGGATCCGCCGAAATGTCCGACTGAGGAGCCGGACGATGATGCCGATGGTGATGTCGGCGCCGCGAGCGATTCGGCGTCAGGAGAGGGAGAGTCCCGCGAGTCCCGTGCAGCTACCGACGACAAACCGTACGCTCTCGCTGCAACACCGGAGTGGGAGGACGGAGTCGAGCAAGCTCAGAGGGAGCAAGTCTCTGAGAGCGAGAACGAAGACGATGAGGGAAAGATGCCGGAGCACCACAACTACCAAGCGCCGGCGAATAGTGTCGAGAGCTCTAAGGACGAAGAAGTGACGTTCCAGGTGGCCACCGAAAAGGCAGCGCCGCCGTCGGACAACGACGACCACGCAGTAGGGGAGAGTTCGAGCACCATAGAACTCGGCAAGACTTCCGGAACGTTTGTCCGCGACCCAGAGTTCTTCAGAGATGATGGGAACTGCGTCGTATGTGTCGGTAACACGTTGTTCAAGGTATGTTCCAAATGCCGGTCCCGGAAGCACGCATGCTGATAGGGTATGGTAGATCCATCGGGGGTACTTGGCTCCGCCACAAGCGGACAACATCTTGACATGTTTGGAGGAGGCGGAGGGCGTGGCAACTCTGGAGAACCCAGTGCACTTGGAACATGTTCACATCAGCCAGTTACGAGCCTTTCTGACATTAGCCTACACGGAGTGAGTACTGAAACCGGCAAGAGATGAAAACAACTGACCTCAAAACTCCAGCCGGAAAGAGCTCTGTACGCTGGAGAACATCGACGTGCTCCAACTCATTGACGCGGCCATGTTTGCCAGTTCCTTCGGACTCGACATCTTCTGCCAGTGGAGCAAGGGTGCCTTGTTCGAGCTGATTGAGAGTCGTAAGATCCTGGCGTCCTGCGCCTCGGAAGTGTATCTGGCTCTCATACTCTTGCACCGCCGACTGCCTCTCCCCATCGTAGACATCGAGACCAAGATCACCACGACCTGGTTGGGACGCCTCGAAACACGCGAGCTGATCAACGTGGAGGCGATGGAGACCGGCGAATTTCTGCACATGAACAAGTTCCTTGGGAGGGTCTACTACGAGACGCTAATCCAGGTGGACCACGACGCCACGCAACAAACGAAACTCCAAGGTCTTGGTCCGCTGAAGTCCATCTGCGAGGAATTCGATCCCGAGCACGAGTTACCCGAACCACACCGGACGCGGCTACTCGTGGGATCGCGCTCGCTGTGCATGGCATGGTATCGCATCATAAGCAAGGTGCCCCAGCTGCCGCCTCCATACTGCGGCTCGGTGCCCCTCGCAGAAGACGACCCGGATCTGCACAAGGTGGCGGAGAAATGTGACTGCCCCGAAGCGTGGAAGGCGCGCTGGAAGTGGGCGGTGAAGGAGACGGTGCGCGAAACGGGGATGGGAGTCGACGTCCTCACTCGCATTCGGATCTTCAAGCGCCATCTGGTCAAGTGGTTTTCGGAGCCGACGGGGGGACCGGGTACCCTGGATGAGCAGAGACGCGTCAACAGAACGCAGTGCAGCACTGCGTTGCGTGCGGCAGATGGAATCGTGCAAGAGATTGAGGATCAATTCCTGGATGGATTAGAGCTGCATTTCAGATTAGGGAGCGGCACGGGATGGCAGGAGAGGGAGAGCGAACAGGAGCAGAGTGCGCTGGAATGACATTTTGGGCCTTACGCATTGGCCTGCCGGCCACACAGACTCAGGTAGCTATTGAGATAGGGCCATCACAGAAAAGAAGGTGAATATGCGTAAATGTGACACAATCTTGGGGGGGGCAGAGCCTTCAATAGAGCAGAAGTGGACTGAGAATGAGGCTGGATGACAATCGTCGTGACACCCTATGTGATGGGGACGAGAAAACTGCAGATGATGTCAGATAGTTAGTTCGCTTGGTCATCAGTCTCACCGACACTCACGCTCCCAGTATAAACGCGCCTCTTCACTTCGATCCTTCTCCAACTAACATGCCCCCGACCAGGATCCTTTTGACCGGCGCGACCGGCTACATCGGCGGCACGGTTCTCGCGCGGTTTCTGGCTGACCCCAACGCACATTCACGCTTCGCTTTTACGACCATCATCCGCGACCCAAAGAAGGCAGAAACCCTCAAGAGTTTCGGTGTCACGCCTATAGTCGGCAGCCACTCCGACCCCCGGCTGGTTGAGCAGTTGGCAAGTGAGGCGGATGTGGTTATCGCAGCAGTGAGTCAGCCTTTCGAGACGTTTAGTCAATTGATGCACATCTCAATGCTCCAGGCGGATTGCGATGATCTTGTCGCTGCGACCGCCACCCTGGCTGGTCTGAAGAAGCGGTTTGAAGCCAGCGGTAAAGCACCTATCTTCATCAACACCGTGCGTGGCTCCCTATCTTCCTGTGTGGTCTTCCAACGACCGGTGAATCTTCCCCAGTCCGGCACTGGCCAGCTATGCGACACTGCAGCAGGCATGCACGCCAATGCGCCCATCTACGACGACTCGGACACGGCGCAGATGTCCGCCATACCTCCCATCGCACCTCACCGGCACGTCGACAACGCGATTCTCGCAGCCGACGCGTCCGGATTCGTCCGCACGTACATCATTCTACCGTCCACGGTCTGGGGCATTGCACACACGCCGTTCACGGAGGAGGGGCTGCAAAACCCCCACTCGCAGCAGATACCACGGCAAATCATGATTGGGATGTTACGCAAAAGGGCGGGTGTCGTAGGAGCTGGGAAGAACGTGTGGCCCAACGTTGAGGTGCATGAGTGTGCGTCCCTTCACTACATGCGTATCAGCATACTCACACGGATAGCGCAGTGAGCGAACTGTACTATACGCTCTACAACAAGATTATGTCTGGCGAGAATGTTGGGCACGGCTACAACGGCTTTTTCTTCGGAGCGAACGGGGAATACTCTTTACTTGCTCTCAACCGAGAGATCGGGAAGGCACTCGTCGCGTCTGGTCGCGCAAAGAAGCCCGAGCCTACCACATTCACTCAAGAAGAGCTCGATAAGTTCTTCAATGTACTTGCCGAATCTGTCCGCCTGCTCCGTTGCTGACGACTCATGCAGGGCTCGACTTCAGCAGGGTCAAACTCGCGCTGCAGAGCGACTCATTCGCTGAGAATAGGCTGGGCACCTTCCAAGAGTACGCTGGAAATGTTCGCTAGCATTCCTGAGGAAATGGAGACGCTGAGCAAGGCGGGGCTTGCGTGAAAACGAGCCCGGCTAAGCCGCATGTTCGTTACTGGTGTGTAAGCTGAGCATTTAGGGGCCGGAGTCGCGATGCGTCATGGATTCCACCAGATTCCGAGTCACTGGGGCCGCAGGGCAGCTAACCTCTAGTTGTGCGGAAAGGGATCTTCTGAGCCGGCATGCGGACCAGCTGCTGTGGATGAGCTGAAGTGGGTTCAGAGAACGCACTGGCGTTGAGTTCGGCAGATGGCATGGGCGGGGAGATTGAGGATCAATCTCTGCATGGATTGGATTGGCCTTTCAGATTAGACAGGGAGATGGAAGAGATGGAGACTGGGATCGAACAGGAGGGGCAACTAATTCAGAACGGCATTCGACGAGAATGGTCCCTCGAGCCGCACTGATGTTCACAAGGCCAGCAGCAGACTGAGTACAAGAGACTCCGTTCTTGAAAGAATCAGTGGCTTCATTCAAACAGAAATGGGTGGGAACTAGCGTCGACGATCATAGTCGGGTGATGATTCATTACCTGTCAAAGACACGAGTCGAGGGAAATTGATGCAGGACATACGCTTGCTTACCGTTACTTATCACCAACCCCAAGGTCATAGTCGATTGACATACCTCTCCGTTTGAAGTTCACGGAGATTCTCTCGACCAGCACGCAAGTTGAATTCGTGGCAAGGTGCTCGCTCAGCTCCTCAGGCAGTCCCCGTCCTCCCTCCCCATCGTGCACCGCTGTCTTCCTCGTCGTCGGCGAGCCGAAGCAGATAGAACAGCTCGTCATCACGCCTGTTGTTGGGCACTGCTCCCAAAGCCCTGATAGTGATTAGTCGCCGTATGAGACGACTGTGTCTTCTTTGCGGCATGGGCCTTCAAGACGTCCAGTGGGGTTTCGCTCATCGCGGAGACCGACAGACTGCGATGACTTGGCAGCAGTGCCCGCAACCCTGGCCACGCTGAAGAGGTGGTCAAATGTTACTAGCAGAGCGATCATCTTCATCGTCAAGGTGCGTCTTTTGTCCCTCATGCAGTGCGGTCTCTCAGCGAACGGTGTTCTCGCCCCCAGTCCAGCGCTGGCTGATTTGGCTATGCATGCCGATATCCTCTTCTGCGGCTCCTCGAACTGGACTGAGGTACCTATTGCTCCCACCGCAGCGCACGAGCGCTCTTGAGCACCGCCAATCTTGCGGTGGACGGGTCCAGGATCGGTGCGCATGCACACCGTTCTCGTCTCCAGTCGGGGGCATGGCTTGCGCGTCATTCGTAGATGGGGGCTTATCACCCTCAGCTCGCAGCAGATATCCGCGCTTTGTCGATAGCAGTTTACCCTACAGCTTTGCGCTGACCGCGCGAAGTGGTCTCCCCTCTGCCAAAATTGGGCTCCGAACTGGTTGCTGGAATGGGACCTGAGAAAATCGTGTTTCGTAGTTTCTAATATACTTAGGTTGCCGTGAAGCCCTACCGCGCAGGCTGGCCACTCCTTGAGGGCTGAACAACCCTTGGATCGTGAGGTCAGTCATCCAGACGAGATGACGCTCCAATGGGTTTTTAGAGGGTAAATCTCCTACCTTATTCATTCGCGACTCTCGAGGTATTGGCCACTAGCTTCGTTGACAGACTGGGAGTAATAATACGTACAGTAAGTGGGGCTGACAAATAATCACGTATACTCTAAATATCATATGTCATCCCACCTACGTGAGCAGATATATCAAAGAATCAGACATGCTTCCCACTACTGGGCTTCCACGCCCTCGTTGGCAAAGACCACTTTCCGGGCTCCATTCCCCGCTTGTGTCGGCGCTTGTGGGAACAGGGAACCCCCTGGATCCTTCTCCACAGTGTACGTTGATTCTGCTACTGGTCGATAAATTTGAAATCTGCGCTCCACATCGATCCGATCAATCGATGCAAGACATGGTAGCGGGAAGCAGAACAGTGCATCGTATCGGAAAGTGCAATTGGAGTCTGTCGATGAAAAGACGATCCTTCCGGTCACAAGACTGATGATTCAGAAGACATCCACTCACTCTTTCTCTTGTAAATCGATGGGAACCGGTAAATTTTCTGGGTGGTTGGATGAAATCTATCGGTCTTACAAGAGATGTCGACAACATGCTGGAGCTCAATCTTGAAATCCGCTCACTGCCGAGTACGAGCTATTTACAGAATTAAGCACTTACTCAGGCATGCCAAGGAAACGCCAAGGTTTCACAGCTTCATAACCCAAGGTCCGCTCGCTTTTTTCCAATGACCGCCATTGGACCCGGATCTCTCCGTCGATTACGGCAATTGTTCACTCGCGGACTGACGTTCTATGGCTTTTTTCATCTTATTAGTTCGTGACGTGTTGAAAGTGAGATTCGCGCGAGAATATCCGGAGGGCCAGTCCTCTGCGCCCCCGACGACGGGGTGCTTCAGCTGCGAGATTCCGTAATTCGCGGAGTGTGTAGAGTCCATGTGCCACGCTGACAGCTTCGTTGTCAGTCCTAAAGCGTCGATTCAGTAATGCTACCACTGGCAACTCCGCGAGATCGGCGATTCTCCAAATGAGCAAATGCGAATAGAGTCCTGATTGGCTCGGGGGTAATGAGAGAGCTGATCTGCTTCATTGAACGGAATGTATATAACGGGCGATAGATGCAAATCCTGGAGAACAGACATTCGCAAACCATGGGGGGGTTCAGTTACGCGTTCTGGTTCCAAGAGCATCATAATCAAGAAGAAAACGAAGACTGGAGTACGCCCCAGAATGGCGAGGATTGAGCCCAGGCTGACCCTTATGATTCAGGTCATAGCCCTGCGGTTGACACTCCTTGCACCCCGCTCACACTTTCATCATTTTCCTCTCTTCAATCAAGCCAGATTCCCTCATCATCGCTATTGAATCCATTCGAGGCTTCTCCGTTCTGTGTGGAGGAATCGGAATGGGCACCCCCTTCAACCCCTGCTCTGACCCTGCCAGAGCTCTCTCCTGAGATGCTGCCGTCACCAGAGGAACTCCCAGCGCGGCGATGCTCACACTGCGGGACGATGACAACGTCAATATGGGTGCAAAATGTCGCAACCTCTTTTCCTCTGTGCCATGCATGCGGACTATATCTGCCTGAACACGACCAACATCGTCCGCAGCGTATCGCTGAGCATGGGATGGCCAAACTGCAGGAAAAGGAAATCCCGCGAGATGCTTCATCTCCAGAGTTCGAGAGACCATGCTTCCATTGTGGCACATGGAGGTCGAGCGCTCAGCATGCAGATCTGGAGGGAGTGATAGTGTGCAGCGCGTGTGGGATGTATCAGCGATTGCGTGAGCGGGAGAGGCTGTCCGAGTTCAGGAGTGATCTTCCTGGGCCGATGAGCGGAGATGGTGACCAGTGGGGTGGGTATATCCTGTCACCCCAGCACCATATGCTTCAATGATGACTGTCTCTTGTCATACGTGCATGTAGTGAGACTTGAGACTGCTTAGGCCATCCCCTCAGTTGCTTAACCCGGTCCATGCGAGCGCGCAAAGATCTCAGCGCGACGGATTGGCGATACAGCCATGCTCCTCCGGCGCAATCACTCGGACATGAATTAGAAATAACCCGGATATGAATACTTCTCAATTTGGGATAAAGCAATCTTAGCGCAGAAACTCGCCTCGTGGTCTCTGTCCTTGCTTCTGCGAGCGTTTGCAATACCTTACTGCTGTACTATAGATATTTTCTCAGATGTTGATCCGAAATAAACAGCGAGCCCCAGTCTGTCAATCTAGGCAATGAGTTCCCTAGAAATTCTTCAGCGAGCCCCAGTCTGTCAATCTAGGCAATGAGTTCCCTAGAAATTCTTTCTACTTGACGTGCGTCACGTTCGTTCTCATACCCGCGACACAGAGACAGTCGCCGTATACTGAATCCCATCCCCGCATTGAATACCCATTGCGACGGAAGATTTGCAAGTGTGGCCTTGTTCGCAGTGTAGGCTTGAAAGCTCGCCAGCGGGACACGAGACCCTGCTTCATTCAGCGGCCGCGAGCCGAGGTCGACTGGCACTGGTTCCCCACGCAGGGTAAACGCGCCGGACGTTCAAGGGAAAGTCTTCGGTGGCTTCAGCGCCATCTGATGTCGGCATGATAGTCCTGCCTCCGTAGCGAGAAGGTACAGTCGAGTAGCTTGAGATCAACCAGGAGTACCATATCAACACACCGTGGTTAGCACCAGCCACGATGTGAGACTGGATCGTACATGTCATCAACGGATAGGAAATGTGTGAGTAAGACTCCGAGTCGTCGTTGGTAATCCGGAGCAAGTGACTTTGGGGACCTGGCTCAAGCCTCGATCGGTGAATTCACGTCAAGTCGGCCTCGTAATCCGTGGTTACAGCGTGGTATGGTTGGTTTATGATTGGCGAAGGACGACGAGCTAGTAATCAGCATGACGCGGAGCCCATGCTTCGAACTCCGGTTCGGACTTTGCATCATGTTGAAGATCCTTCGTTCAGGCAGGCCGGATGAGTCAAGCGCTCAACATGCACTTGTCTATGTAAGAAGTGTCCCGCAGATGCAGGTTTGTCACCTTGTTCTGACAGGCACAGCCTTGTCTGTCCTCATCAGTGGAGAGGTTGTTAGTATTCATGGATGATGATGTGGTATGAATTCACATCGTGTTTGCTAGGTCATCCTTTGACGCTGAACGAACGTGACCTATCGATCCGAAAGGATCATTTAGCGCCTGTTCGTTTCGTCCGTCCGCTCTTATCCTCGAGATTCTACCATCGCGCTTTTTCGTGAATTTCAGTGTCTGTCATCCCTACATACCCAATAAATGGGCTGGAACCGTTGCAACGAGAGAGCAATGACGGGACCTCCGAACACTTCCTTGCACACACACGTACGCGCTTGACTTTTCCCTGCATGCTGGTTGGTCCCTTGCCTCAGAGGAAGAGGACCCTTGAGATACAAGCTATGTACAATCGCTTCGGAACACTCAAATTACAGGGATGCCGAGAAAGGTTGAATCACTGAACTCCGTCGGCGAGAAGTCTGGCTCAACTCATATCCAGTGAATTGATCACTTGTCCAGATTTCTCATCTTCGCGGCCATGCGACTCGGCTGGGTGTGTCTTGACTTGACTAGAGAGTCGAGAAGTTTGGAGGAGATTGAGTGGGCCAATCATCACATTTTCACTGGATGCTTCCATCTGTCTGCGACTTCGCCGTAGCGCACGTTCACCCTATGGGGATCACATCTAAACCGTATGATGGTCGTGTCAGATCTTTCACCTAATCTTTTTTACTTCCACGTGTTGCTGTGTTCTGTTTGCGGAAATTGCCGCGCCTTTCACCCCATCGTTATTTCGACACCGCTACTACGTCGCTCGTCGGCCAAGTCAGCGCCCCTTTGGAGGTTCCCGGAGATCAATCGTGCGTGACGCGCCTATTTCAGCGAACGCGAGTAACAAGCCTCGCACGCACCATCCTCGATATGTAACAAATCAGGTTCATTCCATTGGCATGGTCCTTCCCAGCATCCTCCATGAATGGAAATCAGCCTTGTTGACTGTTGCAACTTGGGCCGATTACATGACCACCGACTTTGGGGGCGTTCACCAACTCCGCTCAGTTGTCGGACCACACCGGACTTCACTCGATCCAGTGCGGCCAATTCATGCCTGTCTCATCTCGTAATATGCACTTCAGCTGTGATTATCCCACGCCGGCTCAGTGCCGCTCTCGATCAATTTTGTCATGATCTGGGTCCGAAGCCAGTCGGAAAAGAAGCTGACAACCGGAAAGACTCGTGGATGGATCTGGGTTCAGAACTGGAGGCTCTCGGCTCACTGGTGTATCATGTTGTCCCTGTTTTGAACTTTTTTGTGGAATTCTCTCTGCTCGTCCAGTCTCGAAATCTTTCCTCTCCCCGATTCGAGCTGAATTTGGACGAGGTTGGACAAATCGATCCTAATCAGGTCAAAGTTGGACAAACAAAATTTGGCGAACGCCCTCTTCCCGGCAATCAGAACGTCTGTCATAAGGGCAGACGAGGCATCGGCTATATGGCCCACCGAGCGACCACTTCGAGAAGAATCTGACTCCAGCTTGAAGTCTAAGTACTTACTTACTCATCGCGGCATCTATGAGCCCCGAGGCTGCCACGGGCCGGTAGCCCGCGTTCTTCCAAATACGAGGCGTCAGTGAGTTGACTCAGACGGCGTGGCTCCGAGGACGGCCCTGGTTCGTCACCTTCACTTTGTCAAAGTCTGCTTTTTGGACTCATCGTGGGCCGAACTCAGAGACAGATGTCTACTTCTGCTTGATATATAACCTCCCTTGTTTTCACGCCTGGCCTCCTGCACGAACAACCTGATGTCATCCATTGCTAGCGAGCATACTCTGCCCGTCGAAGAGCATGCCGTTTCGACTCCGCAGACTGCCGAGCAGGATCAGTCTGGGTTGGCGGAGAAACATTTGGACATGGAGAAGTCTGTTCACGGTGCCACTGCGAGAGTTCCGGAGCCAGGAGTGAATGATGCGGAGTATCCGTCTGGTATCAAGCTAGTTCTGATGACGATAGCATTGTGCTTGAGTGTATTTCTGGTTGCTCTGGTGCGCATTTCTCATATTGCAGTCGGATGCGTCCTTACCACCTATTGCAGGACAACACGATTATAGCGACCGCAATTCCCAAGATCACAGACCAATTCAATTCCTTGGAAGATGTGGGATGGTATGGCTCTGCGTACGTGCCCGTTTCAGTTCTTCTACATTTTGGAAACCGATGGATGTTACACACAGATATCTGCTGGTACGTATATGTCATTTGCTCCCGTCGTTCCTGGACCTGAAGGATTCGTTAGACGACCGCCGCCACGCAATTGCTCTTCGGAAAGTTCTACACCTTCATGCCCGTCAAATGGGTATTCATAACTGCCATCGTCATATTTGAAATCGGTACTTCTATCTTTCCGTATACTATCTTGTTCCGAAGATTAACATGTCCCCGACAGGATCTGCCATCTGCGGTGCTGCCCCCAATTCCAAAGCGCTCATCATCGGCCGTGCCATTGCCGGTTTAGGCTCTGCGGGCATCTTTTCTGGCGCCATGATCATCATCGCCAACACAGTCCCGCTCGCGAGAAGGCCGATATACAGTGGAATCATTGGCGCGACGTTCGGTATTGCCAGCGTTGCGGGCCCATTGATGGGGGGTGTTTTCACGGACAGATTGAGTTGGCGCTGGTGCTTCTACATTGTGCGCCGTTCCTCAATGCATAAAACGAGACTGAGTGAGGTATCCAGAACCTTCCCCCGGGCGCATTCACCCTTGTATTCCTCGTCTTCTTGTTCAAGATGCCAGCCAAGGCCCCAGTCAAAAACGAAAAGACCTTCAAGGAGAAGCTCATGCAGTTTGATCCTTTCGGCACAGTCCTCTTCATTCCAGCCATCATCTGCCTGCTGCTTGTTCTGCAGTGGGGCGGATCCAAGTACCCATGGAAGAGCGGCCGTGTTATTGCGCTCTTCATCGTCTTCGGCCTTCTCATCGCTGTGTTTATCGTTCTCCAGCTCCGACAAGGTGACCGGGCGACCATCCCTCCGCGCATCATTAAGCAGCGCAGCATCTGGAGCGGGGCATGGTACGCGTTCTCTGTTGGTGCAGCGTTCTTCCTCCTCTCGTTCTACGTGTGTTTCGTGTCTCCGGGTGTCAATTTCTTTCTGACCCGCGTACAGCTCCCGATTTACTTCCAGTCGATCCACAACGTCTCTGCAGTCAAGTCTGGGATATCAACGTTGCCCATGATCCTTTCTCTGATCATTTCTTCTATTTTGGTTGGTCTGCTCGTCGCCCAGGTGGGATACTACGTGCCGTTCATGATCGCCTCGACCATCATTGCCAGCATCGGCGCTGGACTGATCACCACGCTCGGAGTATCTTCAGGCCACGCAAAGTGGATTCCGTACCAGTTCATCTACGGCTTAGGCCTTGGTCTGGGCCAGAATCAGCCCGCGCTGGCGGCACAAGCTGTGCTCGACATCGAAGACGTCCCGTCTGGCACTACCATTGTCATGTTCGCACAAACGTTGGGCGGTGCCTTGTTCATCTCCGTCGGTCAGAACGTCTTCACCAACAAGCTCGAGAGTGGATTGGCCAAATACGCTGCGGGCCTGGACCCCAACCTTGTTCTCTCTGCCGGCGCGACGACCCTGCGGTCTGTTGTGCCTGCTGACAAGCTCGCTGGCGTGTTGCTTGCATATTCCTACGTGCGTCGCCCCTCTTCGACATGGCTGTGCCTTACCCAACATCATTTAGGCACTGCAATCAGCGTACTACGTCGCCGTGGCTATGTCAGCTCTGTCCGTCTTCGGCTGCATAGCTATCGAGTGGAAGAACATCAAGGGCAAGGACATCGAGATCGCCATGGGCTAGATAGATCCATCCCCTCGCTTATTATTTCACGCATCACAGGACTATCCGAGTCCCTACGCTCGTGTCTGTATTCACGTCTATTTACAACATCACTAATTGGACATAATCTTTGTCCCCAATTCTATGTCATTTCTAGCTAAGACTCTGCGACTATGTCACATCTCCACGTTCGATCTTGCACATCCACAACTGCGATATTATCTGCCGCCACTTCCGTGCTGGATTACATGAGCATAGTACGTGAAAGATATATTTCGCCGACCTTCGGGCAAGAGCATCGCCTCCACCGACCGCATTACATCAAACTCGACAGGCGAGACAGATCTAGAGAGCAAAACTTGGTATCTTGAGATTCAGTGAAAGGCTGTGTGCCCAGTCTAACCTATCCAAAACTGCGTTGCGAGTGGGACTCGGACAGTGGAATCAGTGACCCAGAAGTGGAAAAAGGGGGGCAGAGGAGCAGAACATCGGCGAAATCGAGATTCGACAAGAAGCGCACAAATGCCGAAAAGCTTCTGCAGACGCAACATGAGACCTGCAGACCCGCATGAGGCTGATTCGCCCTCGGAACGCGGAAGTTTCGGACAGCCATCTTGTGCGTGGGGACAGACCTCTCCGGTTCGGACGATTGGTACTTTCGGAACCTGTTCGGGTGTACCCTTATGATGAGTTCTCTGATTCCATCTGCTTTGGGGTGTAAGATGTCCTTCGTTGACTGGCGCTTGAAACACACTGCGGTGCTTTAGTCCGGTCCGGGGTTGTGTGCGTAAAGACGTGGGTGAAATGTTTTTGCGTCCATGCTTTGAATAGGATAGAGCCCACGTCATGGACTGATGATCCGAAATCAAGGTTGAATTGATGCAGCGGCACAAGTCAGTCAGCTTGAAATCATTATCACGGTGGCTCGCACTTAATCCGATGCTAAAATCCAGAAATCTGAGAGCCGTTTGGCTTATCTCTCAGCCAGAATCACAAACGGATCCTTTTCTGTTGATACGGAGACCTCCTTTGATCTGAGTCCATCTCCAGGAGAATGGGTATCCCAACTCTCCGCCACCTTACGCCCCCGCGCGATGGGACGTCCACCGATTTTTTCTCATGGGAGCTTTCATTTTATGCTTTATCAAAGCTCACTGTGGACACATTCGTCTCACGAAATATCCATTGAAGTGCGCCGAACTTCCTCGGTTGCCACCCCGCTCTTCAGCTCATTAATAAGGAGGCGATTAAGCGATCCCATCTGACTCGTAGCAAGCGACCGCGCATATGGCCCGAATGCTAATCATCAGCCTAGGCCGCATTGCGAATTGAATGAATTCCGCCGAACCCCGGTTCATCAACGACGCTGACTCATGATTTATAAGCATGTTGAGCAAAACCCCGGCACTCCAAGAATTATATCGATTTCTTTAAGGCTGACACTAGAGAGACTTACAGGTCTGGCGTCTTCTAGGTATCCAGACTGTATTTTCGGTCATATATCTCAGCTAGTGGTGTCCTGAAGCGAAGGCGCGCGCACGGCCAAGTGCGGTCAATCCGTGAGGGTGACGAGCAGCGAGTGACACATCTCACGTTCTTCTTTTTCGTGATGTTTGCTGACCATTCCCTTGCCAGTATAAAGGATATAGTTTCCGAGTCTTGGGTTATTTCACTCTCTGATATCGTTTCATGCCTTTTCGACATGTCTTGACGCTCCTTGCCCCGTCTTGGGGCCATACGCTGCCGTACATTCACCTGACCACTCGCATGTTGGCCTCGGATCCCGAGTTGGTCATTACGATCGTGCAACACAACCTCGTCGGTGTGTATCTGCGATATAATTTGGATGTTGTGGTCCGAACCAACATGCGTAGTGCACAAGATGATTGAAGAACTGAGCTCTTGCTCTTACGATACGAGCAGACTGAAGATTGAGGGTGTGGGTGACAACGAGTGAGCCTCCTCATCTGGTTCTGGATCAATTCATCGTATTGGAAACAGCATTCACTACTCACCCCTGATCGTCGAAACAATGCTCAAGCAGCTTACGGCTGGATGGATTAAGGTTCTCGCAAAGGCGGCCACCGAAGAGACCGCATGGCCTAAGCCAAGGACGCTGCATGTATGTCAGCTCTTCAGTCCCTGTGAGAGGCTTATTTCTCGCTGCAGATGGACTTCTTTGGAGGAGGGTTCGTTGCCAAGGAATCGAGGGCCTTCCTGGGACCAGAAGGCAAGATTCTTGTCTGGTTCTCCTCTGCAGCCACGGCTTGCGTGGACACTTGCAGCGAATACGACTTCCCGAAAGTCGCGCAAGAGATATACGCTGATCAGAGCAGAAGAGCAGGAAGAACGATGCAAGAAATTTTCGGTGATGTGTGTACTACATTTCATTTTCAATCGGGTCATTTCATTCGCACGTATGCAGGTTCTATGCGCTGGTAATGGTAGCGACAAACTAGATGGGCGCGTGCTCGAGATTGTTGGTGGAGTGAAGATGTACG